ACAGCCGTCGCGAAATTGATTCACTTTTAAAGAGCATCGAACACGATTCTCAATCATGCTCTTAAAGTTGAGGATTAAAGAGATTTCGCAACGGCGCGGCGTCGTTCGCGGGAGATCGATCGGGAGAGACACAGGGGCATCCGGCGGGCCGGACAATTCCTTAAAGAATTTTGGTCGTAAGCCCGGATTAAGTTATGATGGCCGAGGACTTCTTTCCGTCCATTCACCCCATCCCCCTTTCCCGTGCCCCTCCGTAACGTGGCGACGCGTCGCGAGCGAGCGAGCGGATGCCATCGAATGCCTTCGCCGACACACAGGAAGAATCGAAACCAGTTTCTCCCCACGCCAGACCATTATTGTTTCTTTTACGAATCTAAGCGACGGAAGGGGGGGGGGGACATGCCCGTGTTGAAGGAGGAGAGAAAAAAAGTGGTAGGATATAACGGAAGCGGCAGTGAGACATACGGGGGAAAAGCCATACGAAAAAGCTGCGGTTGGAGTTGAGAAATAATGGAACGAGGCAGAGCAGCCGCGAAGATGCCGGAAAAAAGGCACGAGAGGCGGGAGAAATAAAACGCATCCGCGGTCTATTAAAGTCTGGACTGCTCTGTCTGTCTATTACGTCTCGTCGGCGAGATACACGCCTCTCGACGGCAGATTCTTCCGTGTCGGTGTATCTCCGGGAGCGGAGCGGAGCGACGGGAGACGCGGTATTTACGTCTTATCGGTAATGGCGCTTCGCTCATTCGGGATATCATTTCCTCGGGAAAATTACCATCCCTTATAGCGGGACGACCTTTCGGCAACGGGAACGAAAACGAGAAGAGAGAGAGAGAGAGAGAAAAAAAGAAAACGTCTATCGCGCGCGCCGTTGGTACGCACCAGATAAAACGTCAGGTATCCTGACGTCGACGAGCGTTTTCATCGCGCCGATATCGCGCAGCCCGAAATGACGCGGCATCTTCTCGAACGTCAGACTGTTGAGGAGGGAGAGAAGCGTTTCGGGTGATCGACGATAGGGACCGATAATCGACGTCGTATCGATGATCGTTGTTATTATATATCTCGGCAATAAGCTAATTTTGTACTCCACGACGAACGATGGTATAATCGGCGATGCATACTTACATTGTCATTGCGTTATCTCGACGGTCGACGATAGAAGCTGTTCGCGATCGCAATCTGGAGCGATAATGAACGTGGTGCCAGTTTGTCTGGAAAATCAGAGTGGCCTGCGGGCAACACCTCGGGCAATTCTGTTCGCAAATGATCGAGGTTTGCATCGTCAGTGTAATCACCACTGAAGTCTGTGGAAACACTTTAACAAGCGATTTTTTATTCCACGTTTGAAAGACTAAAATAATATGGTAGTCTTATTATAGTTCAAGCATATTTTCTCTATACAAACTACTTACTACATAATTGTAAGATATCTTTTTTTAGGAAAGGTGTGATACTATAACCGAGAGCTACTGTTCTATTTCCAATTACATTAAATATTGTATCTTAATAATTAATTCGTGAATTAAAGTTTTTTTTAGTCGAAAATCGATTTAATATTTATCAGAAAATTTCGCTTATTTGTATCCTTGAAGTTTCATTCTCGAAAATATTTGTAATCGTGTAAGATAGACATTCACATATTTTTTTGGAAAATGAACAAAGTTTATTTATTAACATTAATCAATTAAGACAAAGGAGAGAGAGAGAGAGAAGAGAAGAATCTGATGGTCTTACAGTAAATTTTATTGTAATTTATTCATATCCCCGATTTGTATAAGACACTGTATATGTAACCTTGATATAATCCATTTTCTAAATTTATCGACACTATGGATTAAATTGTAACGAGAGAGCTTTCCATTTCCATCTGAAATATATTCGGCTCTCTCGCATTTTGCAAGAACCACGCACCGATTTCGTGGGGTAAAATGTACGTACACGCGCGCGAAGGGTGTCAGGAGGAAATTGTAAATAACGCGTCGCGGGTTAGGGGCGCATCAAAGAAGATGATGCACTGCGCGAATTTCATATGCAACACTTCTATGCCATTTAATCCGAACAACGCCGCGAGTTGATTTAGCGCCGCCGAAGATATTGTGTCCGCCGCTTTTGAACACGTAAGCGAAACGTGCGATTTTGTGCGTTTTCGTGGAAAACACGGGAAATAGCGGCGAGTCCGCGTTGTCGATATTCGATACTCGTGCGGTGGCTTCGCGATTTATAGACCGTCGTTGTTGGCCGTCGGTGTCGGATTTTTTCCGGAAACCAGGCCGATTATCCGGAGAAAAACTCTGCGGTAGGCCGACAGGATAGAGGAAGAAATGGAAGCAAACAATTACCCAGCCGGCACTTACGTAAATGGCGGAGAACTAATTAACTTAGAATTCAGTTTTGTTCTCGACAACGCGAACTCGGCTGAAAAACTTCTGCGTGCTTACCGGTTAATTACAGGGCTTGATGAAATATCGACGAAACTTTAAAGCTTCGTGTAATGCGCACACCATTGCCCATAATGATACGAATTGCTTGAATTTAATTTCTTGACTACGTCTATTTTTAAATGAGATTTCTGTTGGACTCATCGTTTCTGTTGGAAGCAGAAGTTCTTCTCTTTCAATGAGTTTGATTTTTTAAGGAAATTTTTCTTTTTTCTTCACGCATTTCTTATCCTTATATACTTACATTTATCTTTATATTTGAAATTATTGAATTTATTATTTGTCAATGTATATTATCGCATAAAACAATCGCATTACAATGTTTTTACTAATCGTTCTACATTTTTAATAAATAAAAAAAAATCAAATATTTTCAATATTTTCTATATAAAATTATACTACTTTCTTTTATGTAGTAGTTTATTCACGCTAACTATGTAATATTTGCACTTAAATGCATTATAATACTATGATAGTGATATTAAATTTTTGCTACACGCTTAAAATTCGAATAATCCGCTTTACGCGCAGCACAAGAGTTCCAGGATAACAAATATTATTCATGCATTCATACCACCATACGTTATAATGCAAACGACTTATCGCACCCCGCGCGAGACGCGAAACTCTCGTGCGGGCAATATCGCGTTTAGTTTTTTCTTTTACGGTAAGCGCGCTACGGTAAGATCGTGACGAATCCGACGGCTCACTAGACTCTTGTCTATTCGCAGCCATGACGGTATCGGACGTGCAGCTACCCCTTTTCTCCGACTCGATAGCGTTTATCCAGCGTATTCATCGGGTCTTCGTGATTCTCCCGACACGACCAATACCTCGCAGCACGAAGCCGGTTTTACGGGCAGCAGCCGCATCGAGATGGGTTGTGTATCAAGGAAGTCTCCGGTCACGACGAGACTCCGCCGATCCTTCCCGTCCGTCCACCCCTCCCCTTCCTCCCCCCATGCGCTCCTGCATCGCGGTCGGAATTGCCCTCCGCACAATGCGGCCACGATTAAGTTTATTACTTGAGACCGGACCGTTAAAAGGCCCTGTTTCTCCTCACGCGGCCGACGTGCGCCACCTGCACGCCGATTTACCGAATACGAGAGAGAGAGAGAGAGAGAGAGAGAGAGAGAGAAAAGAAAGAGAGAGACGGTGGGTAATTGCTTTCGATTTGAACCGTTCTCCTCCCAAAACGGAGGCGAGATTTATCGTTGCGCGCCCGTCGACATTGGCCCGTAAAGCGGTTCGAAGGCGATGTGATACGCGCTGCCAGCATATCGTAACGTCGGGTTATCGAGCTCTCATACGGCAGACACGACTCGCCGTTTAACAACAAAATCCACGAGACGCGACGAAATAATTGAAACGGCTGGCGGCAAAGCTTGCGATGCCGCGGCGTACGGATATGAATGGGAAGGCTTCGAAAGCGCGAATGGATTCTGCTAAATCGACGCGTTCGATGGCGATGAGAGGTTGAAACGCATGGAACGTGCGAAAAAGTTTGCGTGATGAAATATTTCAAGGTGTGATCTGCAATAGCTACCATTAAAATATCAAGCATTTAAATTTCTTTTGCAATCGAGAAATCACATAAATAAAATATATGTTATATAAATTATATCTTTGATATCTATAAATTAATAATTTTCTAGAAATTTTACTTCAAAATTTCTGTCTTTATTAGAATGGTAACTCGATTATATAGATCTTATTTTCTCACATCTTCGGCATCGAAAATAGGCTTACTGAAATAACACCGGAGAAATTTTAATGTAATACACGATGTAAGAAATGACACCACCTTATGTTAATATTGACGGATAACCCGATAGCATTTCAGAATTGACAGAAGGTAAATATTGCACGTAATGCAATTAGCCTGTTCGCTCATGTCCATCGCTTGTCGAACACTGGCAATTTCTGCGAAAGCAAAAGCCACAGAGCAATAAGTGACACACGTCGGCATAAATCGAGGTTTATTCTGGGATAGTCTGCATCATTTTCGGATGCTGCTCGCCACGTCAGCCTGATTCTCCCTGTCAGCGGCGAAACTCAAACGTCAAGTTACGGCCTGACAGTTAAATTCGTTAAGAGGAGTCGTAATAAGGTTGGGACACAAAGTTTTGCGCGACTGCAGCTGCTCCCGATCCTGCTCAATCTCTGCATTTGCCTACGGTGTAAATGGGCGTTTCCACCAGCTCTGACCGGCTACGCGATTAACCGCCATGTAATCTAATGTTTTCTCGTTAAAAAAAATGACAGTTTGCGTGAATAAGCGCGTTGCGGATTCGCAACGTGATTTAAAAGTTTCGCCGTTGCACCTCGTGAGAGTCGCGCGTTTTACGACGACGGAGAGCCCGCCGATGAATACGAATTTCTCGCGTTGTGATAAGAGTTTGGAAAACTGAGTTAGGGCATTTCCCGTCTGGCTTTTTTATTGAGTGCGAAACGAGCTTCGCGGGAATTATATGCAAAAGAAAAATTTTTATTCTTCTTGTTTTATAATAACATTAATTATTAAATGTATTATTCACGCATTGATATAAATAAATTTTCTACTGAAAAAGCAATTTTTATTGATGAAAAATTAGCAGGTTACATTACAAGAATTATCGAGGTTTATATGCAAATTTGTTATATATAGGGAACCCGTGGATCAGGTACATCTCGTAGAAAATCTGAAACAGAAAAATATAAATTTGTTATAAGTAATAAAAATATATAATTATATATGGATTTAAAAAAAATGCAGTTTAACAGTTTAATAGAGAAAAAAAAGGATTATTTCCATAATTATTTATACATATGTGCACTGTATTGTGTTGTAAAAAATATTGCACATAATAATAACGCTGATAAAAACGTAAAGAATGCATGGAAATTATAAATACATTTTCATTAATTTAATTTCACGCAACGCAACATGAGTCTCTTGTATTATAAAATCGTTAAGCCAGGAAAAATTTAAGTATTTATAGAGTGTTGATACACTCTATTTTGTGCTCGCTACACATACACTTTTAGGAAAGTATATTTTCGTTGTACATACGTTCACTATGTAATTTTAGATGAGAACATATTATCTCCGTGCTACCATTTCGCGACTAAAGTTTCACTAACTTTAATTAACATAATATTCGTTACAATTAACATAACCATTTGTCAGTGTAAAAAACAATTAAAAAATTGCGCGAAAAATGCTGTCGTGAAAAATATATTATATGCTGTTTTTTAAATCAGCTTATTTTGTCAGTAAAATTATTCGATTATTTGATCTTTTACATTTATACGAAATATACTCAAATCATATTAAACTTGAATTCATACACATAAAATTATACCTATATATACGCATATAGTGTATATTTTCTGCGTGTATGAAAGATAAAACCTTGTAATATTTCGAGTTGCTATATGATAATATACGACATAGCTATTAGCCGACTAATTTCTGCCTAAATATTTGCTCGTCCGACGTTTCAAGGGAAATGCAACAACGGTATAAATTAGGTTACTCGTATACGAGGTTAATGGTATTAATTTAGCTTCATAGTTCTTGTTGCGAGTCAAAGGATATTTCGACGATGATATAACTGCAAGCGCGCGCATTTTGCCATCTCGGCTACTATTTCCAAGGAAGACTATTAGCAAGTTTGTCGTAAAGGTCTGTAAATATGTACGATGAAGTGACGGGATCTCCTAAATTTGGATAGGAATATTCGCGACTTTCTTGGATCCTCTAGTAGATTACAGTCTGAATTTGGGACGCAAAAGCGCGGAAAGAGAATTCGTCAGTAACGTCTTGAATTGGAAATTATTATATGTTTCTGTCGCGCGAATGCAAAAATCAAATTTATTTCGTCAACAAATATCATCTAATCAAATTTTCTATCTGCTGTCATATATAGAACTCTAGAATGACGAACATACTTTGAAAATAAATTGCTTGAAGAAACATACAATCGCTCTTTTTAAATATATAATCTAAACATCAAATGTTTTTATCTTTGTGCTTTCCAATTCAAGCATGAAAATCGAAGACGACATTTTGCATTTACATATCTACGTGCTCTTTGTCTCATTCAGATAGAAACATTTTAAAATTCACTTTGAAAATGCTATTCACGATCGATAGATGTAGCGTATGCCAGCCGTGGCATACATATATTATCACTCTTACACTGGCGCAAGAAACCCAATTTAAACTCGTCTAAGAATTCCACGGTAAATTGCATTCCGTTCTCAAAACCCTTAATGACTTTCGCTTTCGCCGTTCGCCGTATTCGTTGTTGCGGCTTATTTTAAGGCAAGAATGTCAGGCGAGACTTCTTCGCGGGGGGTGCGCGAGCGAAAGACGAGTGGGCGCACCGACGCCCTTTTCGTCAAGCGTTTGTGGCTTGTCTTTTCTGGAAAAGGGCGCACAGCGTCGAATGCTTAACCGTACATACGTCTATTTCTCTCGCCGGGTAATTTGTCGCGTTAATTAGGCGTGTAACGAGGTCGGAGTAGAGAGCAACTGCAGCAGCCTTTTGGCAGGCTTCTCTTTGGCTGGCGTTTTGCCTCTAAGCGTAGGCGCATTGTGTCGGCGCGTGCGTGTAAGCATTTATTAGGTCGTTACCGATGCTCATTCTTACGCATGATCGGCGAGAAAAAGGCCGCGGGCCAGTACAGAAGACAGCACGCAACTCGTAAATCACGCCGCGCTTCAAATGAGTTTCGGAGATTCTCGACTCTCGTGTATTAAAACGAGGATCGATTGCCGCACGCGTCGCACGAATTTGTCTGCCTCACCGATGTATTGCCGGCGCGCAAATAATCTTAAAGTCGACTTTCTCATTTCCTCTTCTTGTTATCTCTTAGGAAATCTTCTTACTTCGAAGGGAATTTTCATATAAATTAATACTTATTTATTTAGTCTTTTATTCTACATAATAATTTACGCTATCATCGTGCAAATAGAATGAAAAAAATTGAAATACAATTAAAAATAATAAAGACTGCATGTATATTTATATGTATATATACATATTTATATATAAATACGATGTAAACATCTAATTTATAATGAGTTTCCCCGCAAGTAGAGGTCTGTTCTTGAGGGAGAACGGGTTTTCCAAGCAACAACATTATGCCGGTGGTAACAGCGTACTGTATCCCGTCGGGACAAATAAGCGGGGTATTCGGTTTCAAATGGGGTTTAAGCTTATGCTGCGCCTCTGTTGCTGAAAATTTAAAGGCCATCTCGTGTTTAAAGGGCCGTCATGCCGCGGCGGTACCACGTCAGTCTTCAGTTTAGCGCTTAGCTAATGACGTCACGAACTCCTCAAGATAGCATTGTTGCTTTCGATTTGCTCTGATTCGCGGTGATTATGCGCTACATTTGCACTTTCATTTGATATCGAATTCTGATCATCGAATTCTCGCTTCAGGCGATAATTATGCTATTTGTAGCTGGAATAGGGCAATAATAACGGCATATTACTGTTTATTTTGGCATCAGATTTCCTAGCGATAACTAGACGTTATCACATTTCGACAGTGGAGAGAACGAAAGCCGCGATTTGATGCCAGAAATGGATCGTTTGGGCTGTTGCTTTCATACAGAGTATTCTTCGTGCACGTGCAGAATACAGACGTATCGTCATGACATTACTTTTCTCGCGGTGCACGCGCGCACGAGAATGCGTTCTTTCGTGGATATAAATTACGCACATGGCATACCCTATAACTTAAGCCATACGATACGAGAAAATGAACCCGTAACCCATCCTCGTTTATCCTCGTGTAATATAGGTACTATATTGCCCGTCACCCATGGCGAGCATAAATCTCATTGCGCCGAATACCGTTTTATAATTAATGGCGCTGACCCTCTCAGAGAAGAGGTAGGTCCACTTTGTGGAAAAAAAATATTACTCCCATCCATTTCAGAGAATCACCTTAAGTTATCATCTAAGCAGTTGATTATTTCAGCAGACGCATTCAACCAGAGCACTATTAATTTTTCCTCAAGATAATCAATTAGATTAGCTAACTTAACAATAAAATGCTACTTTAATTTTATCAAGTAATATTAATAAGAAATTTAATTCATAATGATGATAATTAAATATGATGATATCTTTCAACATCGTTAATGTTACCAGACATTACGGTTTTCTGCTTTCGAACGCATGATGGAGCATTTAAATACGGCAGTATCTAGTAATTTCTCATAGCGCATCCGAGCTCATTATTCTGTTTGACTTAAATAGGCATTATTAGGTGCGTCCCTAATTAGCTCCGAAAGACAGGAAGAGAGGGACGAAGAAATATTACGACGCGCCGTCGGCTTTAAACGAGTTCGTCGACGAAGCCGAATACACCGCGCAAAAATGATTTACATGAGAAAGAGTGTGGGAGGTGGGGGGGACGATATTCTTTCGACCCGAGTCTCTTCTCGTTTTCGTCGAAAACGTGCTTAACGCCAGGAGCTGTTTATTTCACGAGGGTTACTCCCGAACCAACATTTTTATAATTAGTTTGCTCGCGACTCCGTAAGAGAATGGAACAAAGCGGGGGGAAAAAGGGGTCAAAACGGCAGTCGAAACGACGAAATGGCGACGTTTGCGGAAGAGCGCGCGCACGCAAAAACCGTCGGAAATGGTAGTCGTGGCATGAAGGAGCAGAAACGAGAGCGAAAAAATAGGGAGAAAAGGGTAAGAAAAAAAAGCCGATGAGCTTACGCGTGCGAGGCAGAGGGAAGATATGGGGTTAGCATGGCGGTGAGCCCGCATGGAGGAACGAGAAGGAGAAACGACACATGGGGTTGTAATTGCTACCGGCGCGTTACGGGTGATTATTTTTTAATTGCTATGATTAAAAGAACAAGATCGTGACGCATCGCTGCGCGCATTGAGCGCGTTTGACGTACGGAGCGGTGTTCCGGCAGGCAAAACGTATATTAACTCGACGAAGGGATAGTGGCGTAGAACAGTCGTTGAAGAAAGGGGAGAAATCGTACGTGAATCGAACGTTTATAATGGCGCCTTTTGAGTCTTATTCTTATCGTGCAAGGTCTCCTTTATCGCGCGTGTAAATCACCGCGGGGGATTATATAGATGCAGCTTTGCATTGTGCATTGATGACTTTCGAAAAAAAGCGGAGGATATAAAAAAAATGATTACCGTTCATGACGATTGTCTTATCGCAAAGGATCTTGTGCTTAAAATAGTTTATATACTCGTCGGAATAGGCATAACGCATGCTCGAATCAAATTACATCGACACTTAGCGCGACTGAGAAAAGTACGAAATTGCATGCCGGGATCGCTTTGACGAGGCGAAGCCTTTGCTTTGTGTTCCGTAAAAACGCGCAATTTTGTTGGTCCTTAAATCAACAGCGTCGTCTTAAAAGAGGAAGAGGCTCCCTCGCGTCGCTTATACGGTTCTCCGACTGTACATCATCGAGTTTATGTTACGAGTTATTTCCATACTTTACGTAAATCCACTGAACGCCCGCCCGCCTCCGCGCACGTGTCGGCGGGGGCACGAATTTATTTCCCAATCCTTCACGACCGACTTTATTGCACCTTAACTGCGAACATTAAATCGACCGATGTAATTAACGTCTCGCCGTTCACGTGGGACGGGGGAAAGTCTCGCCCGCGCAACGTAAACTTCTTCGCACAATCTCGGC